TATTTATGACACTTGACCAGTAAAGTGAACACTAAACACAAACCTGCAGCAGAAAACCAGTACAATCAGCCCAGTTAATTGATCTTGTTCAAGATTGATCTAAAACGTTGTCAGAATTAGAAAAAGAAGTGTTTTGTGTGAGGGTGCACTGATCTTCACCTTCAACTGTTAGTCCGTGACTCATCCAAATGAATATTTCTATAATCAAATTCCCTCAAGACATTCTGTGTAACTCTTCACAAAAAAGGGAATTCTGATAGGACGCACACAGACCAACAGAATCTGAGAAATTCATCCTTTAGTCAAAATAAATGTCAGCAACAACAAAGTTTTCAGTTTGGCACAGATGTTTGCTCTTCTGCCTCCACACACATATGAACTTGAGTGATCCCATTCTTAATCCATAGGGTTTATTATGATGCTGGCCCACCCATTGCAGCTATTACAGCTTAAAGTCTTCAAGTAAGGCTTTTCCACAATATTTAGGATGTATGGGTGTGTTTATGGGAATTGTTGAGTCACTTTGGAACAGGAAGGAGCGATCCCAAAACTGTTCCCACAAAGTTGGGAACAATAAATAGTTCAAAATGTCTTGGTATGCTTTAGACTTCCAGGAGAATAACATCACTGCGTGTTCCCCTGATCTAAATCCAACTGAGAGCCTTTGGAGATGGATGGTGAAGTTTACAAAAACGGACAACAGGTCCAGACAGAAGATGCCCTTCATACGGCTGTCTTCACCACTTGGAGAAATGTTCCCACTCACCTCATGGAAAGGCTTGCATTGAGCATGCCACAACAAATTTTTGAAGTGATCAACAATAACGGTGGAGCGGCTCATCACTGAGTTCATGTTTGGAACTTTGGTTTCTGTTTTGGGGAAGTTTATTGGTTTTCTTGGAGGTGTGGTCCAAAACGTTTGATCAGCTGTAAAACTATAATGCACAAAATGTTTTCAGGAGTGGCCAGACTATAAAAAATCCTCCAAAAGCACACTGACAACTCATCCAGGAGGTCACAAAAGGACTCTAGAAATATTGGGGTGGCTGTAACTCAGGAGGTATCTAGTTATGGATCCCTGGCTGGTGCAGTGTGCATGCCGAATATCTTTGGCCAAGATACTAAGCCTAAGTTGCTCTCTACTTCTTCTTTCCTGGGTCTTTTCACGCGTGTTATGAATAAATCTTCTTTTTTCGGTACCGGTACTGGTTTTATTTTGTTGTATTTTTCTGCGGCACCTTAAAGGCCGGTCCATGAAAACATTGTTGGGCATAAACCGGTCCGTGGTGCAAAAAAGGTTGGAGACCGCTGCGGTAGAGCTCAAAGAGGAAATACACTATTTTAAAGGGCTGTACACGCCCTGTATGCGTAAGCAGAGTATATTATCATGCATCAGTGAAGTTAGTCAGTGACAGCTAGATACGATTCCTTTTTGGTGATTTTCTACAATTAACTGCCTCGCGCCTGTTTCCTGTTGTTCTCTTTTAGCAGCATAAAAACAGACGATGTCTATTATGCATCAGTATGAATGTGTGTGAATGTTAGATAGAAAGCACTTGTGTAGGAAAAGCATAAAAAACTGCTCCTGGTTTAAGTGAACAGTAACATTCATTCACTATAGTCAAACGTTTGGTCTCCTCCGTTCCCCCGAGGATGGACGACTGTTCAACGACATGGCCCTGTCTCAACATTTTCTGTTGCTGTTGTGTTTTTGTTTTTCATCTCCAAACGCTCTGTTTAAACTGAGTTTTGTTGTTTTATCCTGAAATAGGGGTTATAATTTATTCACACAGTGCTTCTACATTTTGGCTTAGTCTTTGATGAATAAATAAATATAGCGAAATACGACATGGGTTGATTTTCAGGTTGTATTCCCTTCATGCTAACACCTGGGCTGGACAGTTCTTTATTATATCTTTACAACTGACAGAGGGTGTACTTTCTTTTTTCTATCTCTTTATCACAAATTTCTCTTTCAATTCCATTTTTTCTTTTTTGTGGCTTATGGCTCCAAACAGCACTTCAGTGTGAATAAAGGAAGTTGCAGTATAATGAATCTTAAGCTCTGCAGGAGTCACCAAACGCTAAGCTTTATTGAAGCCTTAAAAACCTTGTTCATTTCAACTGTAATGCTCAGGCAGAACAAAGGGGCATCCTCAAGCCTCTTTAAAACATAATTGACTTCTGTGATGTCACTAATCCTGAAACTGAAGGATCTTGAACAATGATGGTGGAAACACTCAGAGTCCAGAGCACTCTTGCTAATTCCCTTGATTGAGAGCAATTAAAAACGGTAATTATCCAATGAGCTCGTGAAATGACCTTTAAATCTGCTTCCTGATTGGGCTGAACTGGATGGAAACAGACACAGATGCACAGCAGACTAATAGCTTGGCTGGATTACAAACGTTAAAGAAATGAACTAAACATTTCTGGAGCTACACAAAATAAATCTGTGGATCAACAGAAATACCAAAAAGAAAAAAGAACCACTGAAAGGATTAAATGTATGTTAGATACACTACTGGTCAAAGGTTTGGGAACACCCCAGTGTTTCAAGTTATTTATCGAAGTTCAAGTCGATCAAGTCCAAATGGTACAAAGGTGAGTGGTGAACTCCCAGAGGTTAAAAAAAGGTAAGGTTACCCAAACACGAAGGCCATCTTCAGGAAATCCAAAATTCAAAGCTTCCAACTGGCTCCGCCCAGCCTCCTGACTTAAGATCCCCATGAGCAAAGTTATGAGCAGACACAGCACCACAATACAACCTGTCCCGGGGCCTGCTCCCAAACACACAAGAACCAGCAGAACCAACAGAATCTGGATTCACTGTACTCGAGTACTGCTGAACGAGTCAAGACGAAGTGCAGTGAGGCCGAGCTGTGTGTTTGCTGTGGGCAGATTCATACACAGACATTTGTTACAGGCTCACACACATTTGGCCCTCTAATGCAAACACATGGCCCCTTTAGAGGAGCATGGTGCAATAATGTGACAGCAGCAAATGCCTGCATGCTGTGATGTGGAGGCAACTTGACTGGCTACAGTCTACGCTGCCGGCTGTGGACAACAGTTTAGTAAACAAGGCTCTCAACTACAAGATTAATGCGACTGAGGTGAACAGTGCGTACAACCTGAAATATAATTTATTTCTACCCAGAGATTAATAATAAATAATAATAATGATTGCATTTATATAGCGCTTTTCGAGACCCTCAAACAATTCCACTATTCATTCACTCTCACATTCACACACTGGTGGAGGCAGCTACAGATTAGCCATCATTTACGCTCAAGAACGCTGCACGATCGCGATCATGGCTCAAGAGTTGGGAGGTCGCCTTGTAATCGGAAGTTTGCTGGTTCGAGCCCCGGCTTGGACAGTCTC